TCTGGTTTTTAAACCATTGATATATACTATACTCTTTCGGAAGCGTAGTTATTTCTACTACCTCAATGACATGACTGCTTGGGAGATTTTTTTTCAATATAAAATTTTTGAAACCTGAGAATCATTATATGATTATTGTCAAAAAAAAAAAAACTTGGATATTTGAGTTTTCTAACACTTGGCTCTTACTTTCCAAAAATTGGACGGTTCAAGTGCTTAGAGAGTACGTTAAGAAATTTTTTTATTTAGATTATTAAATTATATATTAAAAGGGTTATATTATAAAAATTTGGGGTCCTAAAATTAATTTTAAGTGGAGTTTTACGTGGAGGAGTAAATAAATAATACACCCCATGAGGGAGTAGAGTATCTTTTGGCTTGCATTTGTATACTACTTAGAGCCTATATATATAGTACTTGAAATTTTTTTTTGGTTTTTTGGACATTAAGCTCACATTTTGTGTATTTAAATTTGAAAAAAAGTTTATATAAAGTTACAACCTTAAAATGTGGAACTAAAGATGCACCTTAAAACTCCATAAGAAAATGTTGTTTTAATGTTGAAACACCCTATAATTAATCATCTTGATATCGAGATGTATGAATATGAAAAAAAAACATATTTCGAGTCCCATAAATAATGCATCTTCTAACACATTATCTAGACCGTCAATTTTCAAGATTTTCAAATGTTATAGATCTACTTGATTTTAATCATTTGTAAAATATAAAATTTTATAATTGATTTGAAAATAAATTTTTAAATAATCTAAGAACTAATTACACCAAAATTATATGTTATTATAAAATTTGGAGGTAAACCTTAATTGGATTGTTTAAACTTGCAACCTTATAAAAACCACACCCTTTCAATTTTGCTATGTATACAAACTTTTAGGTCTGACATAGAATCACCCTTGGGCTAAACTTTTTTGGTAAATACATATTCTAGTTAATAGAATCTCATTGACAATAACTCTGCTATAGTTAGTCCCAGGATGGTCATGCCAATCCCAAGCCCAAAAGGAGGAGGGTTGTGCTTGCTTGGCGGTCACCATAAAACTCTTGTCACATCCATTTTATGATCTTGAACCTCTAATGCATGCTCATGCGGGGGTTTATCTATGAATTCCATTACATGAGGGAGAATAGTTGTGACTTTGTACAAAAAGTAAAAAGACATAGTTAGCTCGCGGGAGAAGCCCACAAATGTAGAATTGTGGGCTCCTTAATAAATCTAATTTTGAGATGGATTTTTTGACTTAATCTTTAAGGATATGTAATATCTAATATGAAGATAATGAATATGAAAAAATAATAATTTTATTAAAAAAATATTTAGACCATTAGTTTTAACTATTTTTAAATGAAACACATATTTTACATCTATCTTAAAGATGAATACTTTATACTTTTGGATCTCATATATATAGAAATGCGGTCCAACCGGCATGAAACAATTTTCCAAAACAATTTCTCATACTCCATAGTTAAGCTTTTCTTTTTCTAGTATTAAAAGCATATAACAAAATGGGAGAGGTAGACAAGGGCAGTCCTGTCCATGCACTTTTTCAGCTGGGCGTGTCCAAGTGTCAAAAGATCTGGATTTCTTTGCCATATGGAAAATGTTGAGGGTAACACAGTCATTCTCTCTCTCTCCTCCCGAAGGTTTTCATTAAAGAGGGAGCAGAGCAGAGCTTTCTTCCACTTTCCGTGTTTTCATCGAATTGTAATGCCTGGGATTTTTCCATTAATTTGCCCTTTCTTCTGCAACCAAGGTTTCCATTTTTGGAAGGTTTTTGCAGAGATAGAAAGGAGTAAGTGAGAGAGAGAGGGGAGGAGCAAAAGAGAGAGAGCCGAGGCCATGGGTCTCCATATAAGGAAGGTCTTGGGGCAATAGTTTGTAGTGGAAAGCCTGGTGAAAGCTTTTCATTTATGGAAGGTTTCTTCATCAAAAGCTCAAATTGCACATTTACGCTTCTTCTTCTTCTTCTTCTTCTCCTTCTCGTCCTTTTGTTTTTGATCAACGGCCAGTCCTTTGTATCTCGAGGAAGCTCTAAAGGGAGTGCCCTTTGTTCTATTTGGAAAGTCATTGAACTGAGATAAAAGACTTGGAGCTGGTGAGCTAGGGCTTCGCTTTCTGGTAATTTTTAGGACAACGTTTCGAGAACGGAATAATTCTTTCTCTTTAGGCTAAGGTGAAGTTTGCAGAGATATTTCTTTTTTTCTATTTTGAAAGTGGGTTTTTTTATTTTTTTGACTATTTTAGGTTTCAGGGCAATGAACAAGGAACTGGAGAATGAGCTTTTAAAATCGAATTTGTTTGAAGTTTTGGAAAATCTATGGTTTCGACTTTGGAGGAAGTTTGATCTATTTTAGGAATTATTTCATTTTTGTTATTTTATAGGTGCTTTGCTCGTTTTTAGGGTGAGCAAGGAGCTCTATTTTTTAAAAAAAGATATTTTATAGCTATTACAGATCATTGAAGGTGGTTTTCGAGCTCCGAAGTTCTCTAGAGAGGTTTCTTAAAACGTTTTCCGGTAAATTTTCAAATTTTTTGGATATTGTTGATTCGGCAAATTTTCTCTTTTGATCTCCTGTTTAAAGCTTTTTTATAAAATTTCGTCTGTCTTTTAGTCGCAATCTGTTTTTATGACGTATGCTGTCTTTAGAAATTATTTTCCAAATGGTTTATTATGTTTTTTATTTTTTTCATTACTCCCTCTATATCATTACCTATATTCTAATTTCTAAATGAATCTTTTTTCCTCTGAAATTTCAGGTATTTTTCAGTACTGCAAGGTTCAGAAGAAGTTCAAGAAAATTTACTGAAGTTCTTGATTTGAATATCAAGGATCTTCACGCATTTTACAGTTTATTAACTCTGTTTGAGGTTATAGAACCAATTGCCGGAAACGAATGCAATCAATGGAAGCTTTAACGGCTACACCAGATGCTCATTGTAGTTCCTGCAACTTCTTGGACGAAAACCCTTCTCTCACTGCTCGCAGAAGGAGACTAGAGATCCGACGCCTCAAGCTCTTGACCTGCTCAGACACCGACGGAACCATGAAGAAGAGGAACCACCGTAGCGAGGCTGAGAGCGTATGCGAGGATAGTTTCATGGATAGATCAAAGGAGAATTGGGCTTCTGAGGAAGGCGAAGAGGGGGAGAGAGAGAAAGTGGGATTGAAAGAGGAGATAGAAGGTGGCGTGATAATGTTTTGCGAGGGTTCATCTTCTCTAACTTCTTCCTCATCTTGGAGCCCAAAGTCTGGTTGTGTATCAGTGATAGGGAGGAGGAGAGAGATGGAGGATGTTGTTACAGTGATGCCTGGTTTTCACACTGTATATGTGGTCGAGGAGTCGTGCATGCATGCGGTTCCCCTTCATTACTTTGCTGTATATGATGGCCACGGTGGCTCACAGGTGCTCTCTCTCTCTTGAAATCACTCACTCACTCTCTCTATAGCAGTGTTTCTTTCTCTAATCTTCTGAACTTTGAACTTTTGGGTTATGGGGGGGTGACCAAAGCAGCCCTCCTATTCTCTCTAAATGTCCATGAAACTCCCCAACTCTTTCTTTATTACATGTTTCACTTCTCTCTGGGTTGTTTTACCGTTTGAAACCACCTTATGCTGTGGAGGTCTTCCAATCTGAAAGCTGACCTACCCCAAAAAAAATGGGACTTCAAACTTGTGTGTTCCAGATGCACATATGTAAGGTGTGTACCTTATACCATAGAAGTGGGTGCATCTTGCGAAAGGGGTTCGGGTTGTGGCGGTAGACGTTGTGACACCTTAGAAAACAACTAACCATTTAAAAAACGTGTATTGGGCCTCTATTCCCTTATGAAAGATGCAATGAAAGATGCAGATTTTGGAAATCCTGTATGAAAATTTGTTACGTCTTTGTAAAATTTAAGTACAGATTTTGATATATGAATACTTGAAAATTTTGAGGGTGACCGGTTTAGATGATGTGTTACAAGATGCGCTATTTTCATTGTTGGGATTTTTTTTATTTTTTGAACCAACACATCTAGATGCTGAGGTAATCATTTTGGGGTTTTCTATTTTCGTTTTCTTTTTTTATTCAAGGTTGGAACGACCTTTCACAATGGACTTTTGAGGTGCCCCTTGTTCCAACCTGGTGAGCTTGATACTTCATAAACTTTCTTTTCCAAATCTTTTTAGGGTGCAGATTGTATAGGGTGTGAACTACAAACAAATAAAGTAAGACATCTCTAAATCTTAGTAATCTTAGTTTTGGTATAAGAAGCTCTTGAGATGAAATAAGAGTTTACTCACCCTAAATATGAAATTTAAAGCTTAATAAATAATGTAGTTCTTATTATAGAATTTGAAGCTCCAAAAATGGTGTAGATCGAATGGAACAGTAAGTACTGTAAATTTTAAAATTGGGATGGTCTAAATAATGTATTATATGATTCAATATTTTTAGGACTTGAAATCTTTTTTGTTTTGCATATTTATGCGTCTCGAGGTTGAGATGATTAATCGTTCAGTTTTTCGGTGTTGAAATAACCTTTTTGGAGTTTTGTGGTGTACCCTGCTTTTATAGGATTTCTGCTGTATAAGGTTGACACTTCATGTAAATTTTTCCATTTTGTTTTTCGTTAAAGATTTCTAGTAAAAATGGTATTGTCACAGTAAAAAAGGTCTTGTCACGAGTCTTGGATAATTACTATAATTACTCCAAGTCCAATAATTTTGCTAATGAAATCTTAACCAAATGTAACATTGAAAAAGACAGAAATATTCTTGTTCAAATGTAGTTCCCTCCCGGAATTCATTATAGCAATTTGTACTAGGGAACTAAACACACCATAAATCACCATAGATGCATTACCCAATGGATCCTTGAGTTAGGCCGTTAAAAATTAGGGCAGATTGCAAATCTAATGAACTGTGAAGAGATAAAATAAATGGTCCAAAAACCATGGTTCAAAATCCTTTCTCTTAGATTCATGGGGTTGACTTTAAGGGCTTGTTTGGATATACTCAGTATCTCAGATAACTCGCAGGTTTAATAAAGTTAATCTGGATAACAAATTAATTTGTTGGGCAATGCTTGTCATAAAGTTATTTTATGCAAACTTACAAACAACTATGCATATAGATGTCTTTTTGAAAAGCTGCTGCTTTTAGTTTATTCAAATTAATTTGATGAAAATAACTTGTTCTTCACCGGATATAGCTAAAAAAGTTGATAAGGTGAAAATTTGGAATATTTAAATAAGGACGCAGTTAGCATATGTGGCCAGCCCGCATATAGTAGAAATGTCGGCTTGGCAATAAATATGTTTTTTAAATATAATTTGATCCTAATTTTTAGAAAATATATAATCTGTAACATGGAGATCATGAATATGAAAAAATAAATAAATTTTGAAAACTAGAAAGAATAATTATATTAAGAAAACATTTGGACCGTTGGTTACAATTGTTTTTAGATGGACCACCTATTTGCATCCATCTTTAGGATGGATGCTTTATACCTCTGGACTGCATATTGTAGAAATGCGGTCCAGCCCACATGAAACAATTGTTCTTTAAATAATGTTATACATAATACTAGATAAGTAAAGTACTCCAACAACTAAGAAAATATCATTATTCAGATTATATTAATTTCGATGAGGTAAATCTTTTCCAGATAGAATGAATTGTCATCCACTTAGGCCCTAATAAAATGTATATTTCTAATATCAATCTCTAAGATGGATTTTTTGAGGAGACCGCATTTGAATCGGTGGGCTCACTGATGTACCTTGAACTCTGTTTATTGAATTTCGTATTCATTCACTATTGGTGAATGGTAATGTTCTTTTGTGTAGTTACCAAATGTGCTTGCATGGTGAATCTTGGACTTCTAATATTGCTACAAGACTTGGAACTGGAAATCTATGGTTTAGTTTAAAATTTAAATTAGATTGGGTTCTTTCTCTGCCTTGTTATGTACCTGTGTTTACATGAAAAGAATCTGCCTATGCTGCATAAAAATCAGAGATCTTTGTATTCCCTTCTATTTTGTATAGTTCCCTTGTTTTTCCCCTTTCCATTATTTTCACCTTTTCTTCCTCCTCTTCCTCACCCCTCCCCATACCCCGCCCTCCCCACCTCTCCCCATCCCCACCGCCATTAAAAAAAAGAAGGAAGAAGAAAACAATTTGAAAATTTTCCAAATGAACTTGTCGAAATATCCCTACTAACAAGATTCTATCTTTAACTGAAAATATACACATTATGTCCAGATTTTTGACAAAGCCTAAAAACCCCAAAATCCAAAATCAAGGCCCAAATTATCAAATTATAGAAACGGGCAAGCTTGCGAAAGGGCAGGTAACCTTAGGTACAAAAAGGTCATAGTCAACTTGCCACCATAGATGAAATTGGATGTTGGGCGTGTGCCATTAATTGTTCATAACATGTGAGTATTTTTCCTCTATGTCCCTGTGGTGAAATGAGACACCCTAGCAGTTTGATGTGAAATTTGATTGCTTTTGTGAAATATTATATCTTATGAAAACAATCCTATAATATGCAATTGCTTAAAAATTTGTGAGATAGTCAAAATTTTAAATTTATCCACGAAATATGGTTAGTGTCAATGCCATTAACAAAGCGCACAAAAGTTAAACCCAAAGCCCATAAACCCATTTAAATCTTATATCTTTAGTTTCTACTTCTTTTACGGTGTTGAATATTGGAACTGGACTTGAGATGTGAAATTTGAAAAAACATTTCCTATTTTTTATCACAAGCCAAATATCCTAAGTAATTCACAGAAAAATTAAACATCTCTTGTTTTCTTTTTACAGGCTTCCCAGTTTTGTAAAGACCGATTTCATGAGGCCTTAGCGGAGGAGCTAAAGGGCATTGACTGCCTCACCATTGGTGCTGGTGAGTGGAGCAAAGTGATGGCTGCTTGTTTTCAAAGGATGGATGTTGACGTGGGAGGGCTTTGTCGAAGTGGTGTTTGCAATGATGTGGAATCGGAGTCCCAGTGTGAGTCTTGTCATGATACAATAGCTCCAGGAAACGTAGGATCAACGGCTGTGATTGCCCTTGTGACCCCTTTACAACTTGTTGTAGCTAATTGCGGCGACTCGAGGGCAGTTCTCTCTAGGGGTGGCAAGGCCATTCCCCTGTCCTCAGATCATAGGGTAATAGTTCCTGACATTGCATCTCTCTCTGTCTCACTCTCTCTCTCTCTCTCACTCTCTCTCTCTCTCTCTCACACACACACACACACACACGCACATGCACCTACAAAACACACATTCTTCTATCTATTAGTTAAATTGCCATCTATCCTTCAGCGAGGTAGTAGGTCTTATGTAAATAATGTTGATAAGATTTTTTTTTATATTAGTGGGTAATAGCCACCAGATGATTATGTCAAGCAAGTGGTTTCATATAGGATTATAGGAAAGCATGCACTTTATATTCATGGCCCATCTTGAGATGGTAAGTTTGTCTCAGTTATTGAAACAAAGTCCTTCCAATTGTTATAATTAGTAAGCAAATTTCTCGTTAAGAAATGTAGAGCACATTTCACATTCACCATCAGTGTAGTTTTCAGATTGGTTTGGTTGTAGTGGGCATTTATGGTCCTTGAATCCTGTTATAATTTAAAACACAGTTTGCGTAAATGACAACCCAAAAAGTAAGGATCCAACGCTCAAGCTGCTGCTCCTGAAATTGCTGATTTTTATTGCGATTATTTTGTATTATAGAGATAGATTATACTTGTGTATTATATTAATCATCCAGATTATCAAAGAGTTTGGTTACAAGAGTACAAGGTCATCAGTTTGTCCTTGAGATTCTTGGTTACAAGAGCACAAGACATGTACCACCTTTAGAAGTTGAAAGCCTAAGTACTCACTTATATACATCCGCTGGACACACTACATTCTGGAACACATGCCAGAGTAATTACGAATTGATCTTTTTATCATAATTGGTACAAGCCAGATGAGTTAAAGTCTGATCCTTTCAATAAAAGGGGTTCAGACCTGTTTACCTGGGATGACATTAATAATACTAAGTGAGTAACTTCAAATTTGACTGAGCATGTGGGGTTCACCTGTGTTTCTTGCATGTGGACATTGGCAGCTGTTTCACTTACTTTTCTACTTTTGCTTTTACATTGAACGCGCTTATAGTACTATTATTACCATGGTTGTTATTGCTTTTGTTATTCTTCTGCTTTGTGTGGCTTCTTTATTTAAAGGTCGCCAGGCTGGTATTCTCTCTTTTGCATTGATCTTGTTTTTGGATTTGAAAGTCCCTCCTTTTGAACAACCTCTGCCGTGTGCCTTTAAATATAGTCATTTGCTACACTTGGTCAACCAAGCAGATACCCCCCCGCGTGGCCCCCACCCACCCAAAAAAAAAAAAAACAAATATCAGAACCGCCCAATCAAATTCAGGCATAATTGGGGTTCTTTAAACTTCTTCCTCTCTTGTGGGTCTTCTATTACTCCATCAAACTCATGATATAGGCATGTCCCCCTCTCTCCCCCGCACAACCACCCCAAACCCCCCAACCCCCATCCCCACCCCACACATAACACAAAAAAAAAATAAAAAAAGAAAAAAAAGGAAAAAAAAGAACCACAATATACAGATTTGTGCGTGTGCACCTATGGCATACATGAGAAAGAGAGGTGTCTTAAGTGTGTGCGCACCTATGGCATACAAGAGAAAGGGAGGGAAGTAAGTTGTGTTTTGAAATTTTAGTGCAGATTTGGCTGGCATTATGAGTTATCAGGGTATTTGCTAGTGCTTGCTAGTTAGTATTTGTTATGAGAGATCGCCCAGTTGATAAGTTATCTGTTTCTGTTGATCTATTGATGGATGATATTATTTTCACTGGTTTGTATTTGAACAGCCAGAGCGCGAGGATGAGCTTCGCAGGATAGAGGCAGCTGGTGGTCGTGTTCTTTTTTGGGATGGGTATCGTGTCGGAGGGTTCCTTGCCGTGTCAAGATCAATAGGTATGTATTGGTTTCTATTCAATTTTTTACTATGTTTTGAATGTGATCTTTGCTCACCTCTCTATGAATATAGGGTCTATTTGTTTTGCATGTAAGACATATAATGTTTGCTATGAATTCATCATCCACTGTTCATCAACTGATATAATGTTTGCTGTGAATTAACCATCCACTGTTCATCATCAGTTGATGACGATGGGCAATGGATGGCTGGACATGAGCCTGATATTTTACATATTTCGTTGATTGAAATTTTATACATGATCATCTGATACAATTAGGGATTTAGCTCTTAAGCTTGGGAATAGAAGAACTGTTTTCTGGATCATCGAATTTTTATGCAAAGCATGATACACGCCACTGTTTTAGAAACATGTTTACCGTTCAGTTACTCCAAATGACTTCAAAATTCAAATGCTTTTTGGCTCTTCATTCCATATATTGCCTTTCTTATTTTATGTTTCCTTTGATGGCAGGGAACATTATTTTGTTATGTCTGGCCCCCGTAACACTATTCTCTTCTCCAACCCTTGACCAAAACTTTTAAATATTTTCTCATTGAAATTGGCCTCCACCTCTAAATTTTTTGTTCATAACCAAAAAATCAAAGCTCCCATTCTGTCGAACTTGCTACGTATTATTCGTCTATGTCACTAGCAAAGATGGATCGAATGGAGGCACATATTAATCACACCCGGATTCTTTTACACGTAGTACGTGGAACTGAATTCTTTTTTTTTTTTCAGGACACTAATACGAAATTTTGCCCGTCCTGTTCCCTCAGACCAATTACAACCTTTTTCTTATCTTATAGGTGACAGATACTTGAAACAATATGTGATCTCCGATCCGGAAGTGACATGCACTGAGAGAAGCGAAGACGATGAGTTTCTTATATTAGCAAGCGATGGCTTGTGGGATGTTGTCCCTAACGACGTGGCCTGCGCGGTGGTCCGCAAGTGTCTTGGTACCCACCGACGGCCTCACCACCGAGGCAAGACTACTAGGTCGGGTGTAGAGGCTGCTGCCGCCATGTTGACTAACATAGCCATGGCAAGGGGTAGCGATGACAATATAAGCATTGTGGTGGTCAATTTGCGAGAGGGCAGTGCACCCCGTCAGGTCGAGTAAGTTCTCGACTTGGGCCAGTAGTTACTCATCTTTTTTTTTTTTTAATGATTTTTCCTTGTGTATAGAGAGATTAGGTGGCAGGGCAGACCTACCTCCCTACAATTTTTCAATGCATATCAGCTTTCACATGTCCAATTTTGTTCAGAGAATTGGATGCTTATCATGGTGTCTGTGCTTCATTGTGGATGATCAATGTTTAAAAATCGCTATTCCGAATAGCAATCAAGTCTGCCTAACGGTTCCATGTTTTAGATTCTCCTGTTTGACAGACTTTCTTAGTGCTGTCATAGATCATAGTTATTAAGGCTGGACTGGTTATCGGATCGGCCGGGATGATGCTCAATACCTATGGTAGAAACTTGGTGGGCTTTGTTAAGAAGTGGTTAGAATCAATATTGATTGATTTAGATCTATTAGATCAGTAAAACTGGTTTCATTAGTAAATTTTTATTATTTAATGTTTTTAAATGATTATGTCGGATGAGTTGGCGGATTGGTTTTGACTTGACCAAAGTCCTGTTAGTGGCCATTGTTACTAGTTCAATGCGTGGCTGTGTTGGTTTTGGCTGGGCCAAAGTCTTCTTAGTGTTTGGTCCACTTAGTGGCCGTGGATATTGGTTAATGTGTGGGTGGGTTGGTTTTGACTGGATCAAAGTCGTTTCAATTGCTGGTGCATTGGTAACTTTGCTTTATAGATATAACTTGACATGACTGGGGAATTGTCCAAATATGCTATTGATGGCTTGATTCAAATCAAAGCTTTGGATAATATTTTAAAAAAATAAAAAAAATAAAATTTTGTTCAATTTTATTTTGTTTATTGAATCTGTTTTAACTCTGATTTATCAAAACTGGTGAAATATTAATTGTGAATGAGTTTTTAGCTAATCTGTTTTTACTTTGGACAAGCTCGGTTGAGGCACCAGGCGGTAGTCCGACCAGATGCACACATCGGGCTGCCCAATCTTGATAATTACATTTGAAGTATTAGGGTGCTTTCACCTTGGCCGATTTAATATCAATAGTGTATACAGCTTCAATCTTAATTTTTGTTTTGCTTTCTTTATGCTACTATGCATCGGGAATTCATATACGCCACTATAATTCGTTAATGTAGGGGGTAATTTCATTCATGTAGTGAGTGAGTATTTGTTTGTTTGATGTATATTTGATGGCTGAGGTTTTTTTTTATTATTATTATTTTATCACAAATTATATGAACATGGAATTTAGTGGGTCATTATCCGATTGCGATTGCGGTGCACTTCATCATCATCATTGTAGCTTAAAAAATATTCATATGAGAAAAAAATACCAAACTAGTAAAACTTTTCTTAAAAAATATTCCTAAATGAAAAAAAGACCAAACTACTATTAAACTTTTCAGGTGTATTTTTGTCATTTTATTTATTTAAAATATTTTCTCTATATTTTTTTTTGTCGCTGTGACCCAATGACATGACTTAAATTTTGTGTCAATACGATTTGTATAAAAAATAATATTAGCCGTTACATTGTGATTGATAACATCCCATCAACCACACAGAATTAGGTATTTGAGCGCTGATCTTGACGGATGGCTTGGTCTTCCAATTCTTTTTAGATGAGATTTGGGACTTTTGGGGCATATCCTCACTTTGTGGGGGTGCACATTTTTTTTTAGTAAGAAAACATAAGATGGTAGTTTACATCCTCTCTCAACGTGGGTGTATAGGGTTGGCAATCGGGTTGGGTTGACTTGAACCAGGTCTGGGTCTGGATCCAAGTGACTTGGACTCGATGTAGGTCTGATCCGGTCTATGTCCATGGCATGGACTTTTAGTGGGTTGGGTAGTGGTCTTGTGAACTGCATAAGATATATATGCTAGATAAAATATAAAATAAATTTTTTATTTTCTAATTTATAGATTCAGGTCTGGGTCAATGTGCAAGCTAGTTAAGAGGTCGACCCGGACTTGAACCGACCTGTTGCCACCCCACCTACATGGAAGTGATAGAAAGGTCTTTTAACTTTTTGTCAAGAAAAAAATACCAGAATACCTTAGTAAGTTGCAAGGACATTGGGTATTTAGGTATTTGGTGTGCCTTGGCAAGGTAGTTTGGACCTCATTTCTTCTCAACATAATTTGTGAAAAATTTTAAATGCTGTACTGGATGTGAGATCGTACCTAAAATTAGACAAGATGTTTATTTAGATCAGGTTAGTGGGTCTAGTTGTCATGTATGTATGTTTTATATGTTGGTGGTGTTATAGATGGTGGTCTTTATGTGAAGTATTATTTAGTTTTACTCGGAATATTGTTTATATTTGGAGGTTGAGTGTGAATGAATTGTACATTGTTTGATAGTGTTGTTAAACTGAAATTGGGTATTAGATTGGTGCTCTGCTATGCCAATATGGATCAGCAATTGGTTAATACTGGGAAGAATATATTGTAAAATTTAAGTTAGGGTGGAATCTGACTTTGATTATTTATCCTCCTTACACAATTGATTGGTTTCATAAAGAATATATAAAAAGAAAAATATCTTCATTCCTTTTATTTTTAGGTTTCATTTCGCAATAGAGTATATATTGAGGCATAAAAATTTTAGATTTTATTTTTTTTAACCTTTGGAGTTAATTTAAATTTGTCTTTTAGGCCAAACAAATTTAAAAAGATGTGTTTTTTCTAAAAGCTATCTTTTCAAACTTTTAGAGAGAGAAGGGTTTTATGGAGATGAGAGATTATTGGAAAGAGAGATGTTTAAAGAAACATGGGAGGAGAGAGAGATACAAGAAGAGAGAGATAAAAGTTTGGAGTATATAAGTGAAGAGATAAAAGATTGGGTTTAAAAACAGAGAATGTTTTTTTCACATATGTTTAGGTTAAAAATTAGGTTTAATGTGGTCAGGGTTGGAAGATATTTTTTAAAACTTTGGTTTATCAAGAAATGAAATTTAAGAATATGGGGTATTGAGATATTTTTATTTTATATAAAAACATCTTTTTATTTGAAAAACATGGAAGTCAAAATCTCATAGTTAGATTCAAAGTTTAAAAAGAAATTTTTTAACTTTATGATACACTTCAAGCTGTTCAATTGACTTCTTCTGATGGTGCGGAGTAGTTGTGATCTTGTAACAAGTACAAGTGATTTTATACTTCTTCTGATGGTGCGGAGTAGTTGTGATCTTGTAACAAGTACAAGTGATTTTATAGTATACAATCTCATTTTGTAATAAAGTTGCACAAATTTCATCGAGTCGGATTGATTATCATCATGAGTCGGATTGATTCTCATCTTTAAAAGGGAAACAAGGGCGAGGCACCTTTGCACCAATGTGCAGTGCAGAGTGTCGGACCTGTGCAGGCTTCGCGTCTTTCGTGCAAGCGCTCTAATTTCTCTTGTATGAATATAAGATATGAGAGTATTAAATGCTACTCATGTCTTGCTCGAGTTTTCAATGTGGAATAAAACCCCACCTCTCTCTCTTCATTAAACTCGCGAAAAAATATGTAAAACCATAGTATTTTTCAGAACTGAAAACATTAAGATGATGTTAACTTGCATGTTGTTCACAAAGGCAATCTTATGGAACCGCTTTCGGGTTAGTAGTGTAAAGATCTAATACTTGAGTACTTGGATTACTAATTTTTGACTTCTTTTAATAAGTTTTTTATTCCAAATTTAAGAACAACATTTCCCTTCTTTAATAATAGTTCAAAAGAAGTGAAATGTTGTTTAACCAGGAAATTTTTTTTGTTTTTTTTTAGCACTTTTAAGAACTGTGATGTTCTTTTGTTTCGTAACTTCCAAAATTCTCTTTTTTGCGAACCACATCACGATTGCAAGACTACCGTGATGGTGCACAACTTAATAACCCGTCACAGAACTATCACTACTGTATAGTGAAGGGTATTTTAGAATTAGCAATCCAAGGGGTATGAATGAGATTCTAAAATAAATGGTTTTCTTTTCAAAATTCTAAGGGAAAAAAAAGAATTTTTTTTATAAAGTTTTTTGAATTTATTATGGTGTTATCAAGATTTTTATACGCACTAGAACTTTTTTATTTATTTTTTATTTACCAATGTTCAAAGCTTTTATTAAAAGGTTAAAAGGAGATTACATCGTCAAAATAGTAAGAGAGTCAAGATCAACTCCTTTTTTAACCAGTGCATCAGCAACCCCATTAGCTCTAAAAACATGGGAGAAGGTAACAGATAAAGATGCAACAACATCCATAATCTGTAGCCATCAAGAGCGAAGTTCTTAAGGAAAAGACTTTTGTCTTTTTACACCACCTGATTAGATTCAATGGATCTCTCTCAATTAGGCAAGTAGTGCCCAAGTTGCGGTGTATGAAAGTTAGCAAGCCTCTAAGTAGAGCACTCATCTCTGCAAAGTTTGCAGTTGCCAAACCTATTGGGCCTGCATAGGATAAGACAGTATTATCAAAACAAATACGAATAACACCTCCAATGCCAGTTGACCTAGGTTACCTATCCAGTCAAAATTGATTTTAAGGTAGTTCATTGGAGGAGCAAACCACAATGCGGGACAGTGAGTCAAGAAGTGTGCAATAGATTCACCATCTTGTTTACAAAGTAAACAAATATTTGACAAAATTTTACCCCTATTCATAAGGTTGTCTATTGTTAAAATTTTATGTTGTGCCGCTAACCATATAAAGACTTGTACCTTATGTAGGATTGGCCGTTTCCAAATTTGAGAAATTTCAGAGCAGGACGATCTATAACGATCATGAAAGAACAAGTTGTAGCACGGCTTAACTGAGAAAATACCATCACTCTCAATCTCCCAGACTAACTCATCTTCCGCATCTTGTGAAATATAAACTTTGTCCAATATTTTCATCAGAGAACACCATTGAGAAAAAATAACATCATTTAACCGTCTGTATACTTGATATTCCAAGAAATCCCATGTCCTCTTCTTTCCACAGCATCACCAATAAGCATGTTTGGTTTAGAGACCACACGGAAAAGATGGGGGAAAGCAACTTTTAAGGGGAACTCTCCAATTCAGTTATGATGCCGGAACATAACATGTCGGCCACTTCTAACATTCCATTTGAAATATCCTGTGATCATGGGTCTACAATTGAAGATGGCTTTCCATATATAAGAAATGTCCTTCCCTCTACCACCACCAAGCCATAGATTGTAACTGTCCAACCCATACTTAGAGAGTAGCACTTGGTACCAAAGATTATCTTTAAAATAGGCACTACGCCACCACCATTTACACAAAAGTGCCTTAATAAATTTTCTGACATTCCGAATGCCCAGACCACCTTCACGTTTGGGGGTACACACTCTGTCCCATCAGACCAAATGAAATTTTCTATGTTTTTCACATGAACCCCATAGAAAATCTCTTATCATCTTCGCAATCATTTTCCCTACCGAGGCAGAAACTTGAATCAAAGACATCTAATACACTGGAAGATTGGACAAACA